CTAGCAAAATAGTTTATAAAGTCATCCAAAACATATTAGAACCCTGTATGGAAAAGGAGATGCCAGATGTTTATGCTAGTTTTAGACTAGGTCAAAAAGCAAAATACATTATTGTTAATGCATGTTGGATAACTGAGAAAGCCAAATACACCCCAAAAGAAAATAGATGCCTTATTGATTATAGAAAGGTTTTAAATTGAATTAGGTATGTGGAATGTGCTTAGGAGAATGGAAACGGCAAGACTCATCCATAAGTTTGTTCCTCAGAGAATCTCTCTGCAAAGAAATTGATCTGAAAGGGAGTTTTTTTTTGAGGGGGGGGATTATTTTGATTAAACCATGGTTTCGTGTCTCCAAATTGGACACTTGGTTTACCCACTTCCTCTTTTAACTATTTATAAGGAAGCTGATTATCATTAAATCGACCTGTAAGACAATATTTTATGGGATTAAATATCAAGAAAAGTTAAAAAAAGGAATTTAAAGAGGACTTATTTGATCAGGGTTAATGTACTGTATATGTTGTGGTTTTTTGGTAGCTATTATTATTATTATTTTTAAAAAAGGTTTGAATGACAAGGCTTTAAAAATCAATTTATAAGCAGGGAGAGATTTGTTGTTTCATTTTTTAGAGAACATGATAAATTGAAATACAAAATGGATTAGATTCAGATTAAAATATAATATGTTAGCTCTTAATAGACTTTGGCTGATTAGAACTAAATGATGAGTTTTTATCAATGGATTATTGATAAGGGATGAGATATAGGAAGAAGATCTCTTTTTATTGAAATGTTAGAGAAAGTGGTTTATATTTGTCTGGGAGGAAGAGAGATTCTTTACAACTGGAGACACAAGGGATTGAACCTGCAAAGGCTCATGGCCTACTAGAAAGCTATTGTTTTTCAAATAAACAATTTCTTGGAGTAGAAGGGGAATGTTAGCAAACTCCAAACCTGTTAAAATCTACCTCTCTCTAAACAGGCAGGCAATATTTCCCTAAATTACTGGCATAGCTGAACATCCAGCCAGTTGCCAGGTTGCTGCTGTGTTTGGACACAATCTGGCTCTTTCGTTAGAGTGAAATTATGTTCAATTTGAGCAAGAGCACATGTTTTCTCAAACCACATTTCAATAGATACAACCTGTTCTCTTCCATGCTTGCCTTCTTTTTCACCACTGTGGGAGTAAAAATAATTTAGTTGCTCTGATTTAGGGAAGTTTGCTTTTATTGACAATAAATTCTGTACCTAATGTCTAAAATTCTAAACAAACAGGTGCCTCGTGTTGTTTACAATGCAATCAAAGCCTATAAAGCAAAATTAAACAAAATTATGGACCAAAAAATAAAAGAAGCCATAGAGGTCAGAAATGGAGAATATTAATATGAATGATTTGCCCCTGCCATGTTTCATTCATAAAATCAGTTCAACACAGAATTGAAAAGAACCTGGACTTCAACTAGATCAGTTAAGCTCAGGTACTGTAGTAAAGTACTATAGGTGTAGATCTATAGTATCCTGATACTTAGAAAATATAGAAAGAGAAATTATTCATTTTTGTGGCCTGATTGCTACATAAAAGGCTATTTTTAATGGCAAACTATTGGTATGCTGCTTATTATTATTTTGTGGTGTCTAAGATTGTTTTTGGAGATCTGCTTGTGTAATTTGCCTATTTTCCTAAGAAACATATTTTTATTGATTATAAAATTATTTATTAAAAATTCAGCATTAAACAATACTTTATGTCTTATGCTGATTTAAATTTAACTGGTTTTTTTAGGATAACCCTTTTCTAAAATTTAGAATTTTTGGCAACAATAAGACAATATATCTAATAAAATATGTTCTGTTTACAAACAAATAATACAGTAAAACAAAGAAAAAAATGGCAGAAAACAATACCTTATTTATTTATTTAGTAAAATAAGCCTGCACCTTATTTTTACCTATTAACAAAGAGCAATATCAAAAATTTAAAAGCAATTTTTTTTTTGTTAATTACAAAAGTCTCAATTTTTAAACTCTGGGGTCAGGTTCAACCATTACAGATGCTTCTGGCAGAAATATGGCTAATTGCAGCGGTTCAATCAGCATGAAGGTTTTCTAAGCCAACTATTTACATAAGCATCCCAAAAGAGCCCAACAAAACATTTTAAGTTTGAGAAATTTTACATTTTCTTACCAGCTCACTCAAACATGACACTGATTGAATCCCATGTTATGTAATACTCTTCCGCTTATAAGGGGCCTTTCTGTAAGTGTCCAGAGCTCAGAGAGTAACACGGCCAGTTCACATTTTCATATTTTAAAAGAACATAGAATTTTTTTTCATCACGGTACTGCGAATGTAACAGCTTATGATTTGATGGCTTATATTCTTAAATCGTTGGGCGAATGCAATTATCGTTTCTAAAATCTGGGGGCATTGTTGAAGAAGTGGGTGGAAGAGAATAAAAATGAGTGCAGACCTCTTCAAACTTTGGAGATTTTGCATTAGGTGAATTGGGGCAGGACTGCTAAAAATACCATGCGTCAGAGTAAAGGTGAAAACCAAGCAGCTGTCATTTTATTATTTTCCATATTTCTCTTTGTTTTCTTCTTAGGAACATTTGAACAAAATGTTTTGATGTTCCCTGTAGTTTTCAAATGGATATGGATGTTAATGTGAAGGCAATAAAACAAATAAATGTAGAGTTGCTTGCTGAAATAACTGATATGCATAGATAGATTATTTATTGAAAATCTTTGTTCTTGAACAGGAACCACTTTACCAGTATTATTATATGTGAAATAGGAATCTCTATTCCCCAAACCTTAGAATAAGTTGCATCACATCAAGGTGTGAATTTAGCATATACAAGCTGAAAAAAGCACAGCTGAAGGAAACCAAAGGCCCATTAAATCCTGCATAAATACATACTATATGTTAATACATACTATAAATACATACTATATATAGTATAAATACATACTATATGATCAATGATCCATTTAAATCTTAAAGTGGCCTAAGTGGTACCCAAAAAGAGAGGAAAAGGAGCAATTATATCTCCACACTGATCTTTTGCAATATCTGCCTATATTTGTAGTGTTGGATTAATACAGGTAGTCCTCGACTTACAGCAGTTCATTTAATGACCGTTCGAAGTTACAATGGCACTGAAAAAAGTGACTTATGACCACTTTTCACACTTATGACCATTGTTGCATGTCACATGGTTTACATTCGGATGCTTGACAACTGACTCACACTTATGACAATTGTATTGCCCTGGAGTCATGTGATCCCCTTTTGCAAACTTCTGGCAAGCAAAGTCAATGAAGAAGCCAGCTTCACTTGACAACCATGTTACTAATTTAAGAACTACAATGGGGTGACAAAAGTCATAAAATGGGGCAAAACTCACTTAACACATGTCTCACTGAGCAACATAAATTCTGGGCTCAATTGTGGTCATAAATCGAGGACTACCTGTATAGTTACAATGGAATTATTTGTGCAATAGAGGGATGAAGACAGTTATGGAAACATCGCAATTTACAAAAATAGGTCTATGAATAGGCATTTATGTATGCAGAGTATGTATGTATACACATCCATTTGCATGGATGTGGAGGAAGCCCCATGCTTTCTGTTACTGTTATCATACCAACAATCTCAGTGATCCCAGAATGCAGGAGATTAAAGTAAGGGCAGAAAGTGGATGAGACTTTCAGAAGAGTGCAGTGATGGCAAAGCTCTAAGCCAAAGCACCCACATTGCAATGCTTTGTAGTGAAGAGCATATCTCTTAAGTAATAACTAATATGCCAACATTTTAGATACACAAATACATACATAAACCCAAGTTTCCTGGATACTTAATTCTGATACCAGTATTATGGGCGAGATGTGTATAGCAGTAAGAAAAGAAAATACCTAGAATACTGCAACCAGTTTTGGTCTCCACACTATAAAAAAGATGTTGAGACTCTGGAGAGAGTGCAGAGAAGAGCAATAAGGATGATTAGCGGACTGGAGGCTAAAACATATGAAGAATGTTTACAGGAACTGGGCATGGCTAGTCTAGTGAAGAGAAGGAACAGGGGAGACATGATAGCAGTGTTCCAATATTTGAGGGGCTGTCACAGAGAGGAGGGGGTCAACCTATTTTCCAAAGCACCTGAAGGCCAGATAAGAAACAATGGATGGAAACTGGTCAAGGAGAGTTTTAATCTGGAAATAAGGAGAAATTTTCTGACAGTGAGAAAAATCAACCAATGGAACTTAACTTGCCTTCAGAAATTGGGGGTGCTTCATCACTGGAAGATTTCAAGAAGAGACTGGACAGCCATTTATAGGATCTCCTGCTTGAGCAGGGGGTGGACTAGATGACCTACAAGGTCCCTTCCAACTCTGTTTTCTATTCTATTCTATTCTATTCTATTCTATTCTATTCTATTTCTATTTCTATTTCTATTTCTATTTCTATTTCTATTTCTATTCCTATTCTAAAATTCTCTGCCAATAAATACCATAAATACTTTCCTAAATATCTGAAACCAACCATTTTTAAAAAGCATAACCTCCACCTTTTCTGACTAGGACCAGAAGAAAGGTAGAATCCTCTCTTTTCTATGCTACATTGATGTCCAGTCGAATTTTTCTCAATTACTAATGGTGGAAAATATTCCTAACTCATTTTTTAATGTATTTTTTACATTATTTGCTGCACCTGTTTAGGTAGGGAACCACACTCCAAAAACTAAAATTGCTATAACTGAAGAATAATTAAAACTATAGGAATTAAAATAATGACTCTCCCTGTGTTTTGCTGTCTTTCCTGAGGGAAGATGCAAGCAGTTCAGATTGTGGCATTCTTATAAAGTCTGCTCCCGCCCCCAACAATAGTCAAACAAGTCCTCCTTGTGTGAAAAAAGATCAGTTAAGCTACATGAGGCTCCATGTGTCATGTGGAGATGTTTCTTCTAAAATTTCTCAAAATGATATGCTAACCTGTATAGTTGGGTAGGCAAAGGCAAGCGTAATTGTTTATCCCATCCATACAAGTTGAGTTGTTCTCACAATCGTTATCTTGACAGTCATCTGGATTCAGATCACATTTCTTCCCTTCAAATCCAGTAGGGCAGGAACAGCTTTTAATTTAGGAATAAAGGAGAGATGGGCATTAACTGGCATTTCAGGCAAAAATGACTTACAAACAGGAACTACATATATAAACACACACAACAAAGGGGAAGTCTCTGAAAATCAAGGGATACTAAATTAGAAAGTTTATGCAGATTCTAACTTCAGCACATAAGCAAAAGTTTCTCAGACTGAGGTAAATTGTCATAATTTAATATTTACATTTTATCACAGAAATTAGATATATATGTATCTGAGGGTAGAACTGTAAAAAGGGGGATAGGAAGATACCATTAAAGAAGAATACTGGATAATTTAATTAAGACACATAACTACATCTGGGATTGCCCAGATCTTTTCAATTCTGCTATATCATGCAGTTTAGCAATTCAATGGGCAGATGACAGGTCTGGATAACTACAGATTGCAGATCAGCTTCAGTGAATTTTGTGGTTTGTTCCAGATTCATGCTTCACAATTCTGGCAGCGCAAATACTTCCAGATATATTCAATTGTTTTTTTTCTGGATACATAATAAGAAGGCCGGTTCATGTCTTAGCAGTAAATCTTTCCTGGATTATGTAACTTTCGGCATCAAAGGTATATGTATGTGCTCTATTGCATTCTATTGTTCTACGACACACAAACACACTACATCCATAGTATTTAGAAGTAAACATTATGTATGCAGCAGAAATAGTCAGAATAGTTTTTTTTCTCAGTCAAAACTAAATTGGAGAATACAGCTAAGGTGCGATAAGCATGACTTCATCAAAACCATAGTCATAAATCTTAGTAATCTGGCATTATGTATATAATAATGTCAGTAGTGCTGAACTTTACAGATGAACTTAAAGGTCCTAAACATTCTGATGATAATTACTTCTGAAAACACCAATTTCCCTTTTATAATTTTATTTTGAAAACATATATACTGCAAAATGAAGAAGAAATACAATACCATAAATATAACCATGAAATATTGTAAGGCCTGGGTGAAAAACTACGTTTTAGTCTCTGCTGTACAGTAACAAGGAGGGGATTTGTCTTGGCTTCAGTCTCTATGGGGCCCAACTCAGAAAAAATAAATTGGTAGGATTTGCAAAAGGTACCATATTTGTGGAGAAAGACTATGTGGAAAAAGAAGTTATCTAAATACTTTAGGCATAAGCTATATAAGTCTTTATATATAATTGTATGTATGCTACATTGAGTTCAGAAGACAATAAACAGTGAAACTGCTTCAACAGGGACATATATGGGATTTTCAAGAGACATTGCCTATTTTTTGTGCTGCTCTTTCCAATTTGCAAAATAGCTTCAAAAGCTGTTCCAAGAAAAGCATATTAGAATAATACAATTCTCAGGTTTTTGCAGAAAAGACAGGTCCTTTTCCCCAGCCACTATTATGTGGCTGTTCAACATTAGTGATGGGTTAGGAAGACCTCCCTCCTGAAAATGTCTGACTTCTTTGTGTTCATGTTTGGGTTGTTGTTTTTTTGACAAACTTCCCATCTTCACTCTTCATTTTGTTCTATTTTTTCTTTATATTATTTTTAATTCATTTTTATTTGTAACTGCCTTAGGAGTCTGAATCCATATCTATTTAAATAACAACATAATACTTAAGAGAAAATTGGAACCTCATCGGTCAACTCCTAAAGTCAAGCCCCCAGCAACAGTAAAAATTCTGCCTTCTCCATGTTTAGTTTGGATTATTATTTCACATTTATTCCTTCACTGGTTTGGAGACCCTCAGAAGCCTGGGAGATGTCCAGTCCCAGTTTCACAGGAAAGGAAAAATAGAACATCAATGATATATATATATATATATCATGATGTAAGAATGAAGGCTGGTTAAGTGAGAACCTGTGATTCCCAGCCCAGAGATGTTATTATGAATCAACTACCTATGCAGGCTGCCACGTATCCATCCGTTCAAATAGAAAATTTGAAGAATTATACATTTTAAACTCTGGATCCCAAACATAGTTACTTTTTTTAGAGTGAAATGGCCAGTGATTCATTGTTGAGGGTTCATTCTTATTGGTAAATAAAGGTACTAATCTACCTGCATCTTCTGCCAATGAAGGGTTGAATTAGAGACCTTTGATTTTTGAACCCTGGTATGAGCTTGATAGACTTTCCTACTGCCTTTACTATAGCAAGTGGTCAGATGCCTAGGAATCATGAATGGCTGTAGACTCTCTAGGGATTCCACTATCAATTGAGTTGCTGGTCTCTTGCTCTAGTTCCAAAACCAAGCAGTGACCCATATGGACTGAAGCAATCTAAAGATGGAGCTGATGGGCAGGATTTTCTGATTTTCATTCCAATAAAAAATATTGTGTAAACAAGAAGCAGATGGTAGAAATCTTCAAGGTTGTGAAATAAGCATCCATGTAGCCACTGATTCAAATAGGCTGGAGGAAGAGGATTCATAATTTGGAAGTAAAGGGAAGGATTCCTAGATGTTCTGAAGTGAGAACTTTTAGGTATGGCTTCCTAATTCTCTGCAGTAAATCAACTTACCTAACCTTCTTGAGTCTACTTGGGAATATGGAACAGGAATAGTCTAATCATTTTACCTGAGAGGCCTTGCATGGATAGCCCAACATATGAGGATGAGTCAATCACAAACAATTATCCCCCCTCCGCCCCATTACCAGTTTGCCAAAGATTCTGCAGTCATTGTTGAAGCAACTACAACAGTTGCAATCCTCCCATACAAAGTATTTCCTTTCCTCATCAGTATGGGAATCTGACCAAATTTACTGCCTTCTTCACTCAATAGGAATTAAACATCTTCCTAAGATTATTTCCTTATCAAGTGAACCACCATGGGATTTATATTTAGTCTAATGACTGAAGGATGTGTAAAATGAACAACCCAGTACAGTTCAGATTTAGTTGATTCAACTGGTACATCTGAGAACTAACTTTAAAGACCTTGTCAAGCAAGTGACTTGAGACTGTGAAAACCATTGCCTATAACAGGTGAAGCATTTAGAGAGGAAATATATTGATGAGACGGCCATTATCTCAGGATATGAGCTAGAATGAAAGAGGCTGAACTGACTACCAGATGAAATAGAGGACACAGTCATTAATCAAGGCGCTTGATTAACTTTGACAGCATTAATCCAGGTCTGCTTGAACATCAACAGAAAAGTAAAGGAATTGCAGCAGAATATGAGAATATGTTAGTGGGAAGGGCAGATATCATTATTCTCTTTCATTCCCTGTATCTCCACACAGACTTTTTTTTTAATCCCTGAACATTTGAAAAATGAAACACATCATATACAACATCTTCCAACAAAATGGATATCAATGCAACTTCATCAAAAAGTGCTTGACCACTCAATCCAATATAGCGCAGCTAACTGAAGTTGTGAATAGGATTCTTCACTGCCATACATCAAAACATCTCACAATTCACCAACAGATTACAACCACATGGCATCACCATAGCAGACAAACCAATTAAATCCCTCCAAAACATCCTAAGTAAACCGAAATACCCAGCAGCCTCAGAAGAAGAAACCTTCCCCCCCCAGCAAATAGTGTAGGGATTGCAATAGACAGTATGTACTATAGGACAAAGAGGCAGAAGATTAGCAGAACACATCCATGAATACCAACAGAAGACATGATGAAAGCTCCTTAATTTCACAATACATGGACAGAATTAATCATAGTTTCAACTGGGAAACTGTGGGCATCCTAGACCAAGTCAAGTCCAAAAGCACTAGAGAATTCCTGGAAGCCTGGCACTCAGACAAACTGGCCATCAACTGGCACATAGAGATAATCATATCATTCAAAAGAGACAATCAAAAAGCCAAAAAGGAAATAAAAAGACCAAATACCTCCTCACCGGCAATCCACATCCAGATGAGCAGGGATTAACCCCAAGATTAACATGAGACCAACAATCAAGAAGCAAACAATACCCCAGACAAGAAACTATCAACTCAGACTAACATGCTAATAGCCAACAATTTCCCAATCATGGAACCACCCAATAACATTGACAGGACAAGCTACTAGTATAAAAAAAGGAGAGCAAACCCCATTCCCCACTAGCACTGATGATGTTAGCTAGTTTGGTAATGAATCGTCTACCAGGAAACAATCAAGTTCAAAGAGCACCAAGGACCTCACAGACTTTGCGTTTTTTGTTCAGTACTATTCAATTTTATTCCTGGGACCAAAATTCCCAGAAAATACTACTTAATGATTGGAAATACAGAATTAGCAACTTAAAGCAATTTATCAGAAAATTTACAAGTTACTTTCCTTCTTCCTCTCCGGCCTATACTCCTAATATTTTTGTGAAGATGGTGGTTTCCTATATCCGTTCTATGAATATCACCACAGAACCATGTAATCCTTAGATGTCGCTACATTCATCCCTTCATTGCTTAACTCTTAGAATGGTTGTGGAAGGCATGCATTTTTATCAAATTGGATCTCAGAGGGCTCTATAGTCTATTTTTCATGAAAGAAGCACCTTAATAATTAATTGCTTTTGACTCTCACTATGGGAATTCTGAATATATGGTAATGTTGTTCAAGTTGGTGTGCAAACTTTTGGTCTTTCAAAGATTTATGAATAAAATTTTACATGGCTTTTGGACAAGATTTTTACTGTCTAATTTAAATGAGTTGCTGATTTATTCAAAAGATCCTACACAGCTCAATTTTGCCAATTCTCCCAAAATGCATGGTTGGTTCACTTTTGTGACTTAGCTCCATATTAAGATAGAGAAATATTTCTTTGATTTGCTTTTATTAGACCAATGCAACTCTATCACCTAAGACAGGATTCACAATCTCTTGGAGTCATGCCCCTCACCCGGGGCATTTTGCCTATGTTTACCATAAATTAAATCCTAATCTTACTTCAATTTTTTCACTTAAACCTCAAAGACATTTCCTTAACTTGAACATGCATTCACTTCTCAACCCAGTCTTTATCCTCCATATCCTACCTTCCCCTCTT